AAGAAGAAATCACCCCCCAGGGGGATTGGCCATGCCACAATCCCTTCTCCTCCATTCTCCTCTCGGGATCTTGGGCACGCACACACATGCGCCCGGCGTGTTTAAGCCACCGCGTCCGGGACTCAAACCGCAGTCAAATACATGGGAGTCCAGTGACATAGCCATTACGCTAACTGCTGGTCCCAAAACTGATTTAAAACTTCTGACCTATAGACTGTGATAGAGTACATTTCTGTTGTTTAAAGCTGCACAGTTTGAGTTAATTTGTTTGATTGGCTTCAGGAAACCACATTTGATCCTAGATTGGTACCTTGTTGTAGACTAGAAAAGTTCTGAAAACTTTTGAACAACCTTTGCTAGTGCCTTGAAAAGGTCAAAAAGGTCATGGTATTCTCACAAAGAGGGCTCTTTGATAAGGCATATGTCTCTCTCTCAGTAGGCAGTTACCCTTTTTAGGTTTAGTGCTTAGGTCCTGGCCTCCCTTTCATAAGCTGAAGTTTAAATTTCAGTTACAGTTTACTTTCCAGAGCTTTTGCAGTGCTATTCAGGTTGGCTTTATTCTTTTGGCTTCACTGGGTCTCCTAGATAGTCTCTATATGTGCTGCCTCAGTCCCTGTGCTGTTTGGTTGGAAGTTCAGATGTTGGCCTGTGGTAACAGCCACTACAGTGGACTGGGCCTGCCAATGCCTCAGGTGTGGAGCAGGAGTACTGCTGATGCTTCAATAGTCCAGGCCCTATCTCTGTCACATATATGGGACAATTCACTGCCATTCAAATGTGGAGTTCCTGGGACTGGTCCCAGGCTGGTCTGCTAATGCAGCTGATCAGGATACCACTGCCCAACGTGTCAAGTTGGGATTCAGATGATACTGCAGCTGTTGTTAATTGGCCTGTTGGATTTTGAAGGATAGAGTGGTGGTTGGTTAGCTACCACTGCCACAGGTTTGGGGTGAGAAATGGGTCCCTGACTGTCTTGGCACCCAATTGTCAACTTAATAGGAAAACTAAGGCGAAGTAAGTAAAGAAGTTTATTTGGGGCAGGGTTAGGATGGTCACTTGGATACCACAGTATCCAAATTGCCTTGAGAAACATGGGCCAAGGTCTTACAATTTTTAGAATGATTTTAAAGGTAAAGGTAGTGAATAGGAGGGGAGAGTAGCAATGATTTTACAGCAGTGATTGGCTAAATTCTATAATAAAAAGAGTAAGGTGTCCTCATGGTCACCTGGAGTCTCTGCTTACCCTAAATCAATCTGTGGATATAGTGAATCTGTCATATTATTATATCTGAAACACTTTAAAGGTTATAACTAGTAGATGTAATTGATAAAAGGTAAAGGAGGAGTATATTGGGCAGTAAGGCTATTCTTAGAAAATCCATGGAGTCTAGGTAGCATCTTGAGTTACTTTAGGTACAGATTCCTTAAAAAGCAATAAGATGTACATAAATTTTATTTCCTTACAATGCTGACTTAGTAGAAAGGAATCTCCCATTTTCAGGAAAAATTGGTCTATTTTGGCATCTGTCATCTTCCTTGAAGTTTCAGTTTGATGTAGCATTTTAGCATGAGTGACTCCATTTTGGTCTGGTCTTTTTAACCCAGGGAACAAGCTAAGTGCTGAACAGTGGCCTCCTGTAATTGTTATTTAACACAATGCAGGATAAGTGGAGAATAAAAGGAAAACACAGCACTCATTGTGGTCTTAACTCTTCAACCATAAAGTCCCCAGCCCGTCTGTCTTTGTCCTACACACCTTGTGAATTGTTTATTTTTAGAGATTTTGGCCTTAAGGCATATGTGCTCATGGTTGGGGTGGGGGAGACAGAGAGAGTCAGTGAAAGGGAAAGCCAGAAATCACCCCCCAGGGGATATGGCCACATTGCAATGCCTTCTCCTTCATTCTCCTACCAGTATCTTAGGCATGCACATGTGTCTAGCATGAGTTTCAAGCTACTGAGTCTGAGACTTGAACCACGGTAGACCATGTGGGAGTCAAGTGATATAGCCACTTCACCATCTGCTGGCCCCCAGAGTTGTTTTATGATTATCTATTGAATTATTTCCAGGGTTTGAAATGGTATAATTAGGGAGAGGAGCAAGTTGAAGTAAGTCTATAATACCTTTCCCTGGAACTGAAAAGATACTAAATATTTTTTGCTATTCCTTTCCATTGTTGTTTAAACCTATTTCTGCATATAAATTATGTTCACTTAATATAATAACATTCCAGAATTCTGCCATTGTTTATTAGCATTATTATCGATGTTGTTCCCTTAGAAAAGTCTATTATCTGGGCAAATTATTTGGACAATCAGTTGATCCTATTGAGTTGATTAATATTTATATATTTTTTTTATGCTACAAGTTCTCAACCAAAGCTTGAACTAAAAGTTTCAACTATTTCGGCAATCATTAATCCTTTTAAATTGATTAATATTTACACATATTTTAAATGCTACAAGTTTTCAACTAAACCTTGAGCTAAATGTTTGAACTCCAAGCTTTTTAACAAACTCACTTACTCAAAGAGTAAGTTAGCAATCTGATTCATTTTTGGTCTTTTCTTTTTAATTTAATTAAATTAATTAATTAATTTATTTATTTATTTATTTAGAGAGGTTTTTGCTATAGGGCACATGTGCTCGCCAGAAAGACAGAGAGATAGAGACTAGAGAGCTAGAAAGCGAAAAATCACCCCCCCCCCGAGGGGATGACCATGCCACAATCCCATCTCCTCCATTCTCCTCTCAGGATCTTGGGCACACACGCACACACGCCCAGCCTGAGTTTAAGCCACCAGGTTTGGGACTCGAACTGTGGGCGGCTACATGGGAGTCTAGGGACATAGCCATTACTCTAACTGCTGGTCCCCTTTTAAATTTATTTTAAAAGTCATATGTACTTGCCAGAGAGAAACAGAGAGAAAATGAGAAAGCACCTCCCCATGGGGCATGGTCGTACTTCAATCCCCTTTTCTCCATTTCTTTCTCCTTTTGGCATTTTTGGTATGCATGCACTCACAAACTGGCATGTTTCTAGATCCAACAGACCTGGGATTCAAACCACACAATTAGCTATATGGGATTCAACAACCTTAATCACCACACCACATTTTGGCCCATAGGTCTTTTGTTCTGTTTTGTCTTATTTCTTTCATAAGTGTCAGAGAAAGAAAAAACAGGTGCCCCAAATCCCGAACACACATGAGCCCAGAGTACTCAAGAGAGGACTGAAATTTGAACCTGGAACTTTTCCAGTGTAGTTCAGTTGTGTTACTCTTGCACTATTGCCTGGCCTCTATTTCTAGTCTTTATTAGCAATAACAAAAGTAAAAAGTTTCCTTGTTGGAATCTAAATAAATATTATTTTATTAGTTCCTAAAACATGAGTCTAATAGAAATAAAATGTTGTTTACATATCTATGTCTTTGATTTTTTCCTTCTTACAATCCAAGCTAGGAAGTTTATTATTTATACCACTCTTGTTATTTCTTTGAAATTTTAGAAAATTAATTTTGACAGAGAAATCAAGCCACGAGGCCCAGGATTCAAGCCACAGCCATGGCAAACATTGAAATGCATATAATTTAATAATGTTTTATCATACGTATGCGAGAATATTTTGAGAATATTTTTGTTACTTTTGTGTAGAAGACAACAATTGGCAACCTTTCCCTGATCTAATTTTTCCTTGCCCATTTAACAGGTTAAAAATTTAGAGACCACGAATTTGGATAAAAATCGAAAGTCAGTTTATAGTCCAGATGAAAGAGTGACTTCTATGAACTGTGAACCTTCTGACCCTTCTTTAAAAACACATGAAAAGAATAACTTGCCACTAGGTTGTGATGAGTCTATTTCTAAAAGGTAGGCATTTTTACAAAAATGCATACGTTTATTTATATAAATATGTGCTTGTTAACATATACCCCTTTCTCAAGCATAAAATAGCTTAAAGTTTCATAAATACTATTTTGGTCCATTTGAAGGACTGGAATTGGTTTTCTAAAGCTTTTGTCATTGCCAATTTTACTAGTACTAAAATTTTAAGTTGGTTAGGTTATCAGAGTTGTTGTTTTCTTTTTTTTTTTTAAGAATTATTTATTTAATTTTATTTATTATTATTTTTTAATTTGACCAGAGAGACAAAGAGAAAGGAGGTAGAAGATGAGAACGCAAACCACTAGGTCGGGGACTCGAACTGTGGTTGACCATGTGGGAGTTCAGTACCTTAACTACCATGCCACCTGCTGGCTCCAGTTATCAGAGTTCTTATGTGATGCTTCCCATCTAGGTATAGTGATTGGAGTGATCCATTGGATTATTCCAGCAGTTTTCAATTCTAGACATGGAAAAATCAAGGCCCTATGAAACAATGGTTATTACACAGAAGAGTACATGCTAAGACTGAGAAAAGTGTACCCTATATTAGTTCCCTGCATGTTAAAAGTAGTATCATGATCATTTCAAATTAGTGTGAAGAGGTTCTTATTTGTCTAACAAGAGTCATGAAACATCTGAGAAATATAATCAACAATCTAGTCCTAAAAGATTTGGGACTGGCAAGGGGAAAAATAGTTCAGTTTAACAAAGAAACTGATTAACAGTTTTACTTGGATTGATGTCAAGATGGTGGGTGGAGTGGTAATATTAATGAATTTTTTTCTTATCACTGATAATTCTCAGCAGTCATGGAGCTTTAAAATGTTAATCTTTACATTCATTCCTTAAGTTTTACTTTAAAATTTCCCTTCTATACATTTAATTATACCTCATTTTTTCATTTTTTATTTTATTTAATTTTTAACTTTTGCTAGAGGGCACAGGCATTCACTGGAGGAAATGGGAGATGGAAAACACTTCCCAATGGGGCATGATCACACTGCAGTCCTTTCTTTTCCATTTTTTCATACCATTACATGCACACATGCCCAGTGTATTTTTTCAAGCTACAAGGTCCAGGATTCATACCACAACCTTGACAGTTAACCATGTATCAATATTATCCAACTCCCTTAACTACTAAGTCACAGGGCTGATCTGTGTATCTAGTTTTTAAAAAAGGGGAAAATATCGGGACCAGCAGTTAGCGTAATGGCTATGTCCCTGGACTCCCACATGGTCGACCACGGTTCGTGTCCCGGACCCGGTGGCTTAAAACCCATGCCGGGCGCATGTGCGTGCATGCCCAAGATCCTGAGAGGAGAATGGAGGAGAAGGGATTGCGGCGTGGCCATCCCCCCTGGGGGGTGATTTCTCGCTTTCTGTCTCTTTGTCTCTCTCTGGCAAGCGCACGCGCCCTATGACAAAAAAACTCTCAAAATAAAAGGAAAATATATGACCAAATTGAGTTAATTGAGTTTTCTAAAGAATAATACCTTTTCTCTCAAGTAACTATGGACACACAAGGATGCTACAAGATGAAGGAAAAACATTATGGATCTAAGCATTGACACTAGATTTTTGGTATTTGAGGATTTAGCATGCAGTTTGACTCTTTAGAAGGTACCTTAATGTTCCATGATAATTGAGGCCCACATTTTAGTTTTGAGCCAGGAAGCTGTTACACAGAAGGCATTTTAAGTGGTGAAGGTGAGGCACATTTCAGTGAGTCTTCATTACTGTTTGTTGATGTATGTGCTGTAACTTGTGAAGTGATAATGAAATAAGTGCTAGTGTTGGAAGTGAAAAAGTGAAGACACCATTAAAATAGCACTTTATATAAACAAATATGTCGAGTTTAGCAGTGGCTTATATCTATGATATGATCCACCTTAGATTCTATACTGAAAGAAGACCTGTGATTTGAGGCAGCACTCTCAGCCAATGAGAACACATGCGTGAATAGGTGTAACAAATGTGTAACTTGGTCTCGATGGCTTCAGTGGTGAGTTTTATTAAACATTTAAGAAACAACACCAGCTTTAAACAAATTCTAACAAAGAATAGGAAAAGAGGGAGCATTCTTCAGTTCATTTTGTGAGGATAACATAACCCTGAAACTAAAATCAATTTAAAAATTTTACAGAAGTGAAAACACAGCCCGCTGTAACACATAATATAGATACAGATATGATAAACCATATACTAGTAAACAAGTTTAACAATCTATGAAAGTTGAGTTTGTTTCTGATGTGAAACATGGCAGATGTTCTTTGAGATACAAAATTAGGAGAAAGATGCTTGCTGTCACTACTTTATATTAAGCACACTGGATGTTTTATTAGGTTGTTGGGAAAGTCATGACGTACTTTCCTATATTTTCCTATGCAAAACATGTGTCATGACTTTCTTGATGACCCAATAACTAGTTTAAATAGCTTAAAGACTGCAAAAGAAAAAAAAGGTTAATAAACAAAGAAAAATATTATTAACATTCTTACATTTGGTTGTATTTATAGGAAATCCAGAGGAACCCACTAATAAATTATTAGGACTAATGGGTTATACTAGATTACTGAACTCATATATAAGTAATCAGTTGTATTCTTATATACCAGATATGAACAATTAGGAAATGAAATTTTTGAAAAGATACAAAATCATTTCAACAGACCAAATATACCTCATACCTAGGAATACATTTAACAAGATATATAATAACTAAAGAGAATGACAAAACATTATTCAGAGAGTTAAATAATTAAGTGGAAAGATGTAGTATGTTTATGATTAAGACAAAGAATTGTAAGATGTTTTCACTTTTGTTCAAGTGAATTTTATAGTGTATAATTTCAGTTAATATTCCAGTAAATAATTTTATGGAACTAATAAGCTTCTTTGATTCTAAAGCATATATGTAAATACAGTGGTTTAAGAGTATAAGATACCCTTTATAGAGAGAAACAAAATGGAAGGAATTTGCCATCAGATGTCATTACAAGCTACAGCAATTAGAAAAATGCGATATTAAAGTGCTAGACAAAAATAGATTAGTATAATAGAGTAAAGAGTCCAAAAACCCATGAAGGTACTTTAAAAAGTTTGTAGGATTGGACCCATGGCCTAGTGATTGAGGGAGCTGGATCCAACTTGGCCAACTGCAGTTTGAATCCCAACCCCTGTGGCTTGAGAAATGCCAGGTACCTGTGAATGCCTGGCATTCCCAATTTGACAGAAAAGTGGAGAAGGGATTGCAAAATGATCACACCCCATTGGAGGAATGCTCGTTCACGTGCTTTCTCTCTCTTTTTTGGGGGGGGGAGCATTTGTGCCTTCTGGCAATTAAAAAAAGTTGGTGGTTGGGAACCAACAGATGGCATAATGGTTACGTTGCTGGACTCCCATGTAGTCTACTGCAGTTCGAGTCTCAAACCCGATGGCTTAAACTCATGCTGGGCATGTGTGCACGTGTGCCCAGAATCCCAAGAGAATGGAGGAGAAGGGATTACAGCATGTCCGTCCTCCCTTGGGGTGATTTCTTGCTTTCTGTCTGTCTCTCTGGTGAGCACGCATGCCCTATAGCAAAAATATCTCTCTCTTAAAAAAAAAAAAAAAAGTTGATGGAAAAATGGAATAAAAATACAAGTATATTTTGGTGCAAAAACTTTGAAATCCATGTGGAATTTTTTCCTGATATACATTTGCCATTAACTTTGATATTTGTGTTGGAGAAAATATGAAATTAGACTCCTACATGAAATCATACAAAAAAATTCTCATGTGGATTAAGGAACTAAGTATCTAACGGAAAATTATAAAACTTCTAGAACATAGACCCTCTTTTGAACTTGGACAGGAAATGTAGAATCTCTTTTGAACTTGTGTCTTAAGACACAAATGCCTTTGCCATGAAAAACTAAATCAATTTTACTATGGTAAATTAGAAACATCTTTTTCCGAAAGTCACTGTAAAAATAGTGAGAAGACAGGCTATGGAGTGGGATAACTCTCAGCATATGTAACCCATTGAAGACTAGTACACAGAGTATATATATGAAGGACTTAAGCAAATCAATAAATAAAAGCCAGATAAAACAAAAGAATAATGGGCAAAAGACTTGTATGTCACCTTACAAAAGAAGAATTCCAAATGAGCAATAAACACTGGAAAGGTTCATTCATTAGTAGTCAGGGAAATGCCAGTTAAAACCACTATGAGATACCATTTCATATCACGTAAGGAAAAAGTCAAACATTTAACAATCTTACAGTACCATGTATTCACGAGGTTTTGAAATAATGGGAATTGTTTTTAATATTTTGTAGTTGGATGGAAAAGTTGGTTTAATAGTCTAGGAAAAATTTAACATTATTTAGAAACTGAGGATCTGAATGTCCTTTGACCTAGCAATCTCATCCCTTGATATATCCTTGACGAGACATATACGTGTGTGCAGTATGATATGTGGATATTTCCATAGTTACCAAAAACTGAAAAGAAATTGTTCATCTACCGTTGGAAAGAAAAACAAATTAGTGTAAATTTATACAGTGGAATGCTACACATTAAGGAAAATGAAGGAATTGTAGTCATATACAGCACTCTGAATTAATCCCACAAAGCATCTTTGAAAAGTAGACATAAAGAAATAGTATGATTCCATTTAAATGGATGGAATGAAAAAAATAGCTAAAAATCAAACTATATTAAGGACCCCTAACCAGATGGTAAATCTGAAGAGTATAACAAGGAGATTAGTATCACAAATGCTATTTATGTGGGAAGTTTTATATGTATTTATACACAAACATACATATATACATATACATACACATATACGTGTGTGTGTGTACACACATTTAATTATATGATGTAGAATAGAGGTACATGGAGTTCTGAAGTGCTGATAATGTAAAATTTATTTACCTGAATGTTACCTACATGGGTGCTAGCTTCAGTATTATTTATTAAATGAAACATCGAG